CATCCATCCATCCATCCATCCATCCATCCATCCATCCATCCATCCATCCATCCATCCATCCATCCATCCATCCATAGAGACAAAGGAGACACGCAGACCTAGGATTTAAACCTAACATGCATGTTTTTGGTCTGTGGGAAGAAACTGGAGTAGCTGTAGGCTGGGGGTCAACCATGTGACCTCCATGCTGCGAAGCGACAGCTCTAACCACTGACTGTGCCGCCCACCTTCCACTGTGGCAACAGGAAAGAAAATATAATAATCCATCAAAAYGTCAGAAGGTAGAGAGCTACACACCACACTGACACACTTATTGTCAAAATAGGTGTATATTAAAATATACAATTAATATTTCAATACATGCCTTTTCAGTAGAATGTAAGGCACTGAAAAAAAGCAAAATTTTAAAAGAGTTGAATTGCAGGAAAGAAAACATCAGATTCAATAAAATTATGATTTTTAGTTGCAGCTCCTCAGGTTGGACCTTCTTTGACAATGATGCATGACTCAGATCTTCACGTCACTCCAGATCAATCAAAGTTGGACTGAAGCGTTTAGAAAAACAGCTGATCTCTCTGAAAGAAAACATTTTAGAGTTGAACTTCTTATTGAACATCATGGTTCAGAGGTTGGACAGAGGTTAGCTTTAAAAAAATCTGTGGCTGCCATATTTTTTAGCATGYTTGTTTTGTTATGCTGGTTTTGTGGTTTATAGGCTTTCTGTTTCTGGTGCAACTGTTTAGGCTGCAGTTTGATTTGAATTTGAGAAGCCAAAATAACCATCAGTAAATTTCCTCACTGTAAGGAGAGAATCTAAAACAGTTTATTATAAAAAAAAAGGTCATCATTCAGACAAAAAYATAAAACAGAAAAGTCATATTCATAAGATTAAAAGCATTTTTGAGATGCCACAATGATAGAATGTWTCACACAATTTGACAAGTACTGCATCAAATGTTTTATATGAAATAAAAATGAAAACACAATCTTTTTTTAAATGCTTTTGGCAGACGATGGTAGAAACAGACCTAATAAACACGTWATAAACATAGAGAAAAGAACCAATGGGCTGAGAAATTTATTGGAACTGAAAACTTTTCTCTTCTCTTTTTCTCAACGTTTTAATCATTTAGCATTTTGGCTTGGCCATCTTATGATCACACAGGTTTCTAAGTAATTAAAAATGAACACTTCTTTTTAAAAAGGAAGAGAAAACACAGATTTAAAATTGTGGCAGAATCTGATSTGGCGCTGGTTGTCTCCATTTAGGGAATTGACCAACAGCCCTCAGATCTTCTGCCACATCATTAGAGGAAGGAAGAAAAATGAAGAACAAAAGATTTTCCATCATCCTGCTCAGCCACCCATCCGTCCATCCCACCTGTGCAAAACTCTCATTCCTCTCAACTTTTTAATTCCTCCATCTGTTTTTCTTTTTCCTCTTTTCCTTCTCAGCCATAACTTGTTTTGGCTC